TTTACCAATTCACCATCCACACCATTAATTCTGTGATTTGGATCAATAGGAGTGTCTACTGGTTTGGTCCCCAGCTTCCCAGTCTCTCGCAGTAGATCAAGTACATATTTTCTCTGTGAAATGAAGATCCCATGCTTGGATCCTGCAACTTCAATCCCTAAGAAGTATTTGAGCTCACCAACATCTTTGATCTCAAATTCTTGTTGCAATGATTTTTTGAGATCATCAATCTCCAGATCATTTTCTGTCACCACTATATCATCCACATACACAATCAGAATTGACACCAAAGCATCTCTCATCTTCACAAAGAGGGTGTGATCAGATTGTGTCTGTGTGTATCCAAAACGGATGAGTGACCCTTTGAACATGTCAAACCAAGCCCTAGGTGACTGTTTCAGTCCATACAGAGATTTTCTGAGTCTGCACACCTTTCCTTTACCAACATTTTCATAAAAGTCTGTTGGAATGTCCATATATACCTCCTATAAGTCACCATTGAGGAAAGCATTTTTGACATCAAGCTGGAACAAGGGCCATGAATAGGTGGCTGCTAGAGATAAAAGAATACGAACTGAACTCATCTTAGCTACTGGTGCAAAGGTTTCCAGATAATCAACACCATAGGTCTGAGTATACCCTTTTGCTACCAACCTTGCCTTGTACCTCTCTATCTTGCCATCGGCCTTATACTTCACTGTGAATACCCATCGACATCTGATTGTCTCCTTGTCTGGGGGGAGATCAACTATTTCCCAAGTTTGTTTTTTGACCTAAGCATCCATCTCATCTTGCATGGCTGTTTTCCACTCAGGTTTGGAGAGAGCCTCAATAACATTCTTGGGTATAGACACATAATCCAGGGAAGAAAGAAAAACATTGTAGGAGGGTGATAAGGCACTGTAGGAAAGATGGTGTGAAATGCAGTGGGTTGTACACTTTCTCTTCCCCTTACGAAGTGCAATGGGAAGATCAAGGTTAGTGGGATCAGCTGCAACAATGATGTTAGGGACAAAAACATTATCATCAGAAAACATAACTGGCTCAGGCTCAAGAGGAATACTTGGAACTGTATTTGCCGAATCTGGAGTTTCAGAAGGACTGATAGAGAGTGGTGTGGGTCGAGGATGTGTGGAGTTAACCATCATCTGTCGGCGTTGATATTGCTGTGAGGCTGCCCGTAGTGGCTCAGGTAATGAAACTGGAGGTGCAGGTGCTGGCTGAACCGATGCTAGCTGAACTGATGGTGCAGGTGGTGGCTGAATTGATATAGATGCTAGCTGAACTGATGGAGGCACCATAGAAACAGGAAGAGGAACAGAATGTGAGCTCTCCTCCCCAAAACTCTCCCGTTGAGGAGAACCACTCGAGAAGAAGAATGTGGATTAAAAAAAGGTAACATCCATAGTGACAAATCTGCTCCTCGACACTAGGTCATAACAGCAATACCCCTTTTGGTTCTGAGCATTGTTAGAATGTTAGAGTGTTGTTCGGTTGATAAGAGTTCTTATTAGCCCATTCTTATGTTTAACTTATCTTGTAACTGGGCCTGTGTTAATGGGCCTAATCCTGTTTAATGATTTAAGTCATTTGGGTGTCCCATCACTAATCAGGGGCAT